TGCCGTGTTCAAGGGAGCCACTGTCGTCAGTGTGTTGCAAGAAAAAAGAGGAGAGAGTCCAGGAGAAAAAGGGCTGTTATGTGTGTTTTTTAGACCAAATACATGAGTAACAAATCAACCTCACCTCACGGTCCTGTTCTCAGCTGTATATTTATTTGAGCTTCACAAGACTAGGAAATGGTGTGAATTTGTCGCGATGCTTTAAACTTAAAGTTTTAAAAAACTCTTTATCATGAGCGGTGACACTTACGGGATGTCATTTTATATGTGGTTGAATCTATTTTCTAGATTTTTCATATTTTTTGTCTGAGAAAGTCTGAATTCTGAGGAAAAAGTCGGAATTTCGGCAAAAAAGTCTGAAATCTGAAAAAAGTCGGAATTACTTTTATCTCAATTTCTGATATTTTCTGAAAAACTATATTATAATTTTTTTCTCTGAATTCTGACTTTAATCTCAGAACTCAGAAAAAACAAACTTTTGGTCAGATCTTCAAAAGTTTTTCACATGTGACTCTAATCCTCATCCGTATGTTTACAATCTCCAGCTCCGATAGGTGTTTTAACGTCTAGGTTTCTTCACAGTGTCTAATGCTTGTGATTTCTCACTCATATGTAGAGGTTTCTTTTAGCAATGTTGCCATGTACAACCTGCTGTGTTGAGTAGAATGGAAAATGACTTTATACGACACAATACGAACATGTTTGCTAGTTCTGCTTTAGCTAGCTGCTCAGGTCAAATGTGCGTTTACATTTTGACTTTTGAACAGTATTAGTGCAATTTTTTAGTCTTGATTTCAAACGCTGCTGTTTTTGTTTTGACAACAAATCTTACATATACTGTTGACATCAAAGACTCAAATAACAAGATGTCAGGCTGAATACAGACAAAGAGGAAGAGGCAGAACATCGGACGATAGGAGCCAGAACAAAAAGCAGTGCTATGTTTTCCATGAGCTACTTAGCGCTCTGAGAGTCAAACAGAGACACCGGGAGGTGCCGAGGCCTTCATTAAATGCAGCTCAGGCCCTGGTGAAACCCTGGTTAATGTTCCTATCATCTCAGGAGTGGCCCAACGTCTGGCTCTCTATCCAAACCTCTCATGTTTAATGCATCTCTGCAGTCCTTGTCATCTAACCTCACCTCTGGAGGTTGTAGGTCGGGGTGGAATAGCGAAAAGCTCCCCACAAGACCCATAAGGCAAAGCGACCGTGCAGTTATTCTTCGCCCCGCTCTCCATTCACTTAACATGGGGAGAGCTGCTCCATGTCTCGCCTATTGCTGTGTAATCTCCCCAAAGCAAAGCCCCCTCCCTTCAGCCCATCAGACTGCATGAAGCTGAACCTGAGGGTGGTCCGGGTTGATTTTGTGGCTCTGAAGCACTTTGTTACGCTGCTGCACCTGAATGCTTAAGCAGGAGACAACTGATGCTATGCTGGGAGACTTTATGACTTACTCGGCTATCTTTAGGAGCTCTCCACGTTACAGCTTTAGGAAGGAGAGTTTAGAGGCTGTTATTTTCTGTGTCCCTATATATACACCGAAGCAAGATCTGGATTTGGGGTCAAATTGAGCAGAACCAAGAGGTTTTACACTGAGTTGTGAATGGTTTATCCCCTTTAAAAAGGGTCTTAATGTTGGTCGGAAACTGTGTTGATCGTAGCAAGTTAAACTCTTTGATTGCTCTTGGAAAGAATAAGGATTGCAGATGTGAATACAAGAAAATACTTTGCTCATAGTCCAGAGTTTAAGCTTTACGAGTTCAGGTTTAGTTTCAGTTCTGGTAGATAGATTTGGTTTACAAATGGTGGGAGTAATTACACCTCCTAAGACCCTGCGTCAACATATGAGGACGTTACATGTTGGCTTCACCTTATACTTGACTTCTGCTTAACTTTGACCTGTTGTCCTCATTCGTTGCCATCTTGTGGTAGCAAACGCACAATACAGAAATCAGTGAAAACACAAGATGGCAGCAATCTCAGCAAAGGAGTTCTACAAAACCTCATCAAATGTTCTGGTTGAAACTTGTTTATTTATGCTCAATAACGTTTGTTGTTTGATATTACATTAAAAAAATGAGAATTAATAGCAATAGTAACCACCATATGGAGCAAGATAACCACTTCTGACCGGCTCTAGGGTTAGGGTGGGTGACCCGGGTTCATCGAGGCATGAAACTAAGCTGACTGCCGCCTTTCACTCAATGTTTCCCAACATAAACGCTTTTGTTGTAGATTTCGCATTTCTCACTTTTACGTTGAATACTTTACTTAATTGTTCTCATTATACTTGAGAACATTTCCAATGCAGGACTTTTACTTGGATAAGAGTATGTCTTACTTACAGTGTGGTATTAGTACTTCTACTTCTGAGATCTGAACACTTCTTTGTATTTAGTCGCTGAACTTCAGTTTGTTGGGACCTTTTTTCAGACCCTGCCACAAAGAGTATATTTTCTATCTTGTAGGTTTGTTGATCTGCTAATGGTTAGCATTTAGCATTTACTTACATTAAAGCCAATTCCCCAAGTGTCAGGTGTTTTTGTCACCTCCACTTTCAACCAGCCTATGTGTAGTTCAAAGTATGTACTCCACATACATTTTCCACGGCCATTAAATAGTTTGAAAATGAATGCAGAAGCTTGTAATTTAAAGGGGACCTATCATGCAAAATGCACTTGTGTACGTCTTTTCTACATGAATATGTGTCCCCGGTGTTCCAGGGAACTCACCAAGTGTCAGAAAACACAACCCTCTCTATTTTCCTCCGTACCCAAATCTCTAAAAAAGGGGCTGCAACGGATCTGATACAAACTGATCCAGATTTGAACACTGTCCTGACGTCAGGACGGTGGCGCTACGGCTATTGGGCCAACTCCACCAATCAGGAGGAGACAGCCACGGCCATTGCCGTTCTAAAGCGCTGGAGACGCTGTAGTACATATGCCAGGCCTGTAGGTGGTGCTGTTCTCACTGAATCAGCCCTTGCTAAAACAGAGCTATAAATTGTCAAATTGAGCGAAATGAGGCATGGCTAAAATGCATGATCTGTTTGGTATTTTGAAAAAAAAAAAAGTATAAATATGCCTTATATAGGTATGGTCCTACACTATATTATTCAAATATAGCATGATAGGTCCACTTTAAGGACATGTATATTTCCAACATCATATACGACCTATTCGGTTTGGAGAGTACTGAGGCCTTTAATCTTGGGCAACGATTCAACATCTCTATCACACACACTTCTGTGTAAGAGGATGTGTAAGAGCTGTGATTCCACTCTTTGTTTAACTTGATCACCACGCTGCATTTTCCTCAGATTTTCCCGGATTACGTGCTAAACACTGCCTCCCTTTTTACTCCTCTCTCCCTCCCTCACACACACCCACTCAATCTCTGCCTCTCTGTCTTCAGCATAATGGTAATTAGAATATCACCATGATTGAAATTTGGCTGAAGTTGAAGAGGAAACATGTTTTCTAATCAGAATCCGCCTCGTAGCTGGAATCCTGATGCTTACTTGGCTGAAAAAACGTTCTTCATCGACGGGGGTCTAAACGTATGCCAGACTGTATTCTGAGGGCCAAACAGCTCTTTCCAGGCAACGCTGGAATTCATTTACATCTCCCAGTTGAGCCTGTTTTAATTTTGTGTTTTGCTGTCATCTTCTGGGGTTGGATAGGATTGAAACGACTCATGTCTGTCGCCTAAATATGAAACCACAGTCTGTTAGCTTAGCATAGCATAACAACTGATCCCAGGGAAGCATGGTCAAGTATTCTTCCTTTAGGTCACATTGGGAATTAGGGTTTATTTTCCATATCATTGGTATGGAAATATCTGGGTGGTCACTCAATTAACAACTTACATTTTCTTCTAAGTTATTATTATTTATATATTTTGCAGTAACGTCAAATCTTCTGCAAACATTTGTTGCACTTCCTGTTTCCATTTAGGTTCATTTTTCAAGTGATGTTGTTCAAGGATAAGGCTGGTACTATAATATGTGTTTTCATTGTCTACACATCCAATGAAAAGATCAAACCAACAATGCTTATAGTCTGTTGCAGCCCAAGCCTAATGGTATTAAATTAAAACATTGTTTGTTGAGAAGGAAATCACAGAAAAGCAGAATCAGAATAACGTTATTCTTCCCACAGAGGGGAAACGTGCATTTGTTACAGCAGAAAAGAGCCAACGACAGCTTAATATCAACCAAGAAACATGCACAAAAAATATATTTTTTTAAAAAGGCACCATGAAATGTTAGATTTCATACACATGTTCCAGTTTAGTTTTATTTAAAAGTGTGTGTTTTGCTGTCAACTTAAGAATTGATACTGCAGTCGAGTTTCTCTCCTGAATATATATAACTACAGCCTAGTAGCTTAGCATAGCACAAAGATTATAACTGGGTTATGTGTTGGTGAGCAGAAGTGACCTCCTGCTGTGTTTGTGTGGCGACCTCACGCTGTGCCAATGTCGTTTCTCACACTTTTATGGAGCTGACTTTCCTCCCATGTCGTTCCAGCACTCCATTAAAGGCAATGGTAATGGAGTCATTATTGTGAGCTGCAGTGAAGAGTCTTGGTGTGTGTTTTCTGAAAAGTATTCCCGAAGATATTCAGTAGACGTGCGACAGGGAACTATAGTCAGATACAGATGAAAGATGTAAACAGAAGCTAATCATCTGCTCACGACTTGCAATCCATAACATTTTGGCATTTGAAATGTGTTGATCAAAGCTCATTGGTAGCAACGCGATTGGAGTTAAAACCTTACACTTCAACAACTGTCTGTTTTTTGGTCTTTGAAATCAGAGTGGGATCAGCATGAATGAGTGTCTTTTCACCCTCACCTGACTTCTGCTGTGCTTCACATGCATGCACCTCGATGCACCTGCAAATTGGGGCATTTTAATTTAATTGGGGCTTTGAATGCTAACCTCCCTTTCTGTTTTTCTCCCCTCCTTTCTCTCCTTCTCCTCCTCAAACACAGGAGCTGCTCAGGAACCAGGTAAGACTTCCTCCCGCTTCCTTTCCTTCTCCTCGCCACATACTCTCATCAGTTTCTGTCTCATTTCAAATCATTACATCCGAGCATCTTGTGCTGCTCTTTTTTTCATACAATCAATCCTCAAATCTTCTTCAGTCATATTTCGACTTCGATCTGCCTCTCTTGTATTCTCCACACTCCATTTCCTCCAAATCTCATGTTGTTTCCATTGTGCTGACTGGACATCTTCAGTCGGCTGCCAACAGAGATGATGTATTTTTGAAGGCTGATCCTGAAGTTAGCATCGCAAAGGGCTCCCTTGACAAAAAGCCAATAAGAGACATGCCTGATACACTTACACTTTTGGAAAGCAGGATATCTCCACATTTGAACACCACTTTGTGATTTTTTAAGTGTTAATGCGTTTGGCAGAATAATACATCTATAGTTGAGCTATAAAGGAACTACAGCACGGTCACATGACTTCACGTCACCACCGCTAAGCTAAAGGCGGCTAATGTTGGGCTATAAAGGAACTACAGCACGGTCACATGACTTCACGTCACCACCGCTAAGCTAAAGGCGGCTAATGTTGGGCTATAAAGGAACTACAGCACGGTCACATGACTTCACGTCACCACCGCTAAGCTAAAGGAGGCTAATGTTGGGCTATAAAGGAACTACAGCACGGTCACATGACTTCACGTCACCACCGCTAAGCTAAAGGCAGCTAATGTTGGGCTATAAAGGAACTACAGCACGGTCACATGACTTCACGTCACCACCGCTAAGCTAAAGGCAGCTAATGTTGGGCTATAAAGGAACTACAGCACGGTCACATGACTTCACGTCACCACCGCTAAGCTAAAGGCAGCTAATGTTGGGCTATAAAAGAACTACAGCACGGTCACATGACTTCACCACCGCTAAGCTAAAGGAGGTTAATGTTGGCCATGATGACACTTGTTAGCAACCGCCTTGTTAGGACACACTGAAGCTTCAGAAAATCACAAGTAGGTTTTTTTTACTGACATAAGAGAATAATTTACAGTAGCTTAACAATGATTAAAGGAAGAACATGTGAAATAGTAGTAACTGCAATTAACCAGAGAGTAGGAACACAGTAAAAGGAGTCACTAAAATATCATTAAAAAAAACAGGCATTCTCTAATGCCTGTTTGCAGTTGAGTCAAATAGAAGATGTGGCTGCATTTTGAGAATGTACTACGACTAAAACTTGAATTAAATACAAAATAAATAGTATTCCTCTGGTCAGATTGTGCTCCCTTAGCTTTGCTTACAGGACAATAATTGTATGCTGTAAATCACGTCATGCTGCCTTCACTCCCCCTCTCCTCCGTCTCTCCTCTACAGAGCCTTTTAATCCAATTAGTAGTGCCACCGACAGTTATGTATATGTACATGAATTAGAATTGAGCAGCTAGACATCCTCCCCTCGGGGGCAGATTGGACATTTCTGTTCCCGGTCAAAATCTTTTTTAGCTTTTGTTAACCGTAGACCTTATTTCAGGCTAACAACCAAAACATATTCAGAAAACCATTGACTTACGAGGGAACAGGAAGCAGAACATTCCTAAGTCATTTAGATGTTTTAGAACTCATTGTCTCTCTCCACTTTTTTCAGATATGGTCAATTTTAAAAACTGGTTTTCTCCAGTGAATGGGGAAAACAACTTTTTCCCAACCCTCCTGACACATGCATGATATTAGCAAAGCTGCTTTTCCTTGACTTTACTGGAGGAAACCAGTTTTAAAAATAGAACATATGGTCTCTTTTGTACAGTGGCCGACAGGTGCCAACAGACAACAACAGCCCTCAACATGTCCATTAGGAGAAACGTGCTGCTTCAGAAACATCTTCATGTGTTTTGGCACATTTGTTTTTTTGTATTTGCATCGTTTATTGATCTGCAGTGCGTTTCTCCTCAAGGGAAATGGCCGTTGTAGCGCGTTACACCCATTGACCACCCTACTGTTGCTCCAACATCTTGCATGTGTCTGGAGGTGTGAAAGTAGTTTTTTCCTTTACTTCACTGTAAAGTAAACCAGTTTTAAAAGTGGATCCTATCTGGAAAAAAACAGAGAGCAATCGACATATTTCTTGTAGTCAGAGGTCGCAGTGCTTCTTTAGTTGACCTGACACTTCCCCCCCCCCCCTCCCCCTGTTTGCTGTGTATGCCGATCAATAGAAGAGGAGACTCGGGAGGAGGGAGGCAGGGTGAGGGAGGCAGCCGTTAAACACAAGGAGTGTTATCCATGTGTGCACAGAGGCTCTTTAAACACACACAAACACGTGCACACACACACCAGCACACAGCTCAGATTAATGGCTAAATCAATCCCACGCATACACTGTTTGCTTGTCACCCTGTATGCTTTTCTTTTATAACACAGGTTCAATTTCGCAAGCTAGTGAAGCTCGATCAGCAGAATATGAATTCAGCAAGGTCGTTGGTTCCTCTCTAAAGAAGGAAAGCCTCCCGACCGCAGGACGTCCCTCTGATATTGCAATGTCAATAGTCCCCGTCCAATGCATTACAACGTACAGCTGTCAATACATCAGCTGTTTAGAGCGGCTCGTTACAGAGACCTTCCTCTGACTCCTGTTGTCCTCTCAGGGAACGACACCATGGATTTTACATAAGATATTATTATATTTATCCCGAATGAAATTGTTGTGCCAGTTACAAAAATACAATAAACACAGCAGCATCTGATTCAAGCCCTCTGGAGGCAGCAGATGCATGAAGAGGGATTTAAAAAAGCATTGTGATTTGTTTTATTTAATCAGAATACTTATTTATCCCAGAGGGAAATCAGGTTTGTGATATTTTTAAGAATGAAATTGAAAATGAAAAATAAAATAAACGACAGTAAAAATATTTGTGAATCAGTAACAATGTGGAATACACTTTTTTTTTTTTAAGTGGACCTATCATGCTATATTGGACACATACTGTATATTGTAGGGTCATACCTATACAAAACATGTCTGTGAAGTTTTTTGTTTAAAATACCAAACAGATCCCCCGTTGCAGCCCTGTTAGAGAAATGCGGATTTTGGGTCCTTAGCTTGAAAAAAGAAAAGAAAAGAGGAGGCGGAGCTAATGCCTGATCAGAATTCTACCGGAGATAAAGTTAAAGGTGGGGTAGGTAAGTTTGAGAAACCAGCTCGAGATCGCTAGAATTTGAAAATACACAGCCGGAGAAAATCTGCCACTTCCTCACAGAGCCCCTCCTCCAACACACACGAACGCGCACATGACCAATGAGGGCACGAGATAAGTTTGTGCACAGATGGAAGGCTGACAGGCAGGTAGGCCATCCAGTTATTTTAGCCGGGCCGGCTCAGATGATTGGTCGTGCTTTTTACAGTACTACGGCTTCCACAGATGATATTTATTATGTATTTGTTGTCAAAGCACTTCAGATATTCATTGATATCGGGATGTTAAGAGCATTCCATGGAATATAACAACAAGTGTATCTCGAGCCGGTTTCTCAAACTTACCTACCCCACCTTTAAATTCAGCTTTGATAAAACGCCATCCTGTTCTAAACCACATCAAGGATTATTTCTGAAACAGTATGGAGCTCAAATGCTTTTTCTCTTGTGTGTTTATTACAAGGTGAGTTCCTTTTTTTATTTCCTGCTTTTTAAACACACGTGCTCTCCAGTACAGGTTTGCTCTGAGTGTTAGCGAGGCTAGCTAATGTGAACAAAGACGAGATTGCGTCCAAAACACGTCAGGCATTGTTTCTGATAGCAACTCTCTGTGGGTCCGCCATCCGAAATTACGTAATATCGGCAGCAAATCTGGATCAGCTCCGTTGTTCCCCCGTTTTTTAAAGATGTGGGTACGGAGAAAAAGAGAGGGGGTTTTATTTTCTGACGCTGCGTGAGTTCCCCGACGCACCGGGGACACATGTTTATGTATAAAGGACATCACAAAGTGCATTTTGCATGATAGGTCCCCTTTAAATGATTTGATGTGTCTTAATATAAGAAAGATCAAATCAAGTTATTGAAGACATTTGCAATATGAAGATAAAAAAATATATAAATTGAAATATCAAAAGTTTTGAGAGAATCCGTTTTTTATTTAATCGGATACAGAATTTGAATATTTTATTTATCCTTGGGGAATTAGGTGTTTGACATTTGCTCGATTTTAGAATAAAATAAAAAATGACTGATAAAATAAACAAGTCAAAGAAGTCGTGGTAATATTTAACATTTCAACACATTTTACTACAATATGTTCCACTTCCTTTATCTCTTCCTCTTCCTCCTTCCCTTCTTCTTCATAATTGATTAATAGAAGGTGCACGTATTTTTCCTTAAGGTTATCTCAGGCTAAATGCGTGCGTCAAGTTAAAAAAGTACTATGATTAATTGTTCTTAAATTAAATCAGGGTCTGGAAGTTTTTAATAACAGTTTTGGTTAATCAACCTCAGCCGGATATTTACAGTATGGGGTAATATTAAATATTCATACTTTGATTAGCCAACCTAATATGTAATTTCTCAACAACGCACAGTCAATGTATAATGATTTAATGATTTGTCCTAATTTCATAATTGTAAAATAATAAACGACCCGGATTTAAATGAGTCAGTTAGCCCTACAGCCAATCAGAGAGCAGCATTAGAACAAAGTGAAACTTCTTACAAAGTCATTTATGTCTGTAAATGAGTATTAAAGGGTTTGATTTTGTGAAATAAATTAGAAAAAGCCAGTTTTATTTGTTGTTTAAATCAAGAGGAACTCAATTGTTGAAAGCACATATTGTATTAAAGAAAAATAGGGACTTAATCACAAAAATAACAAAATAAAAGGGGATTGTCTTGCTTGCATCCTTGTTACGATAACTAAATATACACTGATAATTTAATCACTTACAAAGGGTTATTATTTGTTCCGCACCTCTAAAGGTTACAATGACGGGTTTTAGCTGTGATAGCAAGGACACTAATCTTAAAACAAGAATGAATTAAA